GGTCGGTTCCGGTTCAATGTTATTTTTTTTATTTTCTTTTGATTTTCTAAATAACCCCCGACTCCCCCCATCCCCCCCAACCCCCCCCCCCCCCCCCAAAACACCCAACCCAACCCGGTAGAAACAAAAAAAATTGAAAAAACAAAAAATAAATAAATTAGGGCCGAACCGGCCAGACCGGTTCGCATTTTAGGGGGCCCGAGCCCGCACCAAGATTAGAGCGGTTCCGGTTGGCCCGAACCGGCCCCAAGACCGGGTACCGGGCCGGGCCCAAACAGTACCAGGCCGGTCCGGTTCCGGGCCAGACGGCCCGACCCGAGTCCACCCCTAGTGGCGCTGCCTCGTGCTCTTTGTTCGCTTCCTCCGGCAAGAACCTTCTCCATGCCCCGTCCATGATTTCCAGAGCCACCAGCATGCCTCGTCTTAATCGCAGCTCCGACCCCATATGCTCCTCTCTGGCAAAGAAGGGCTGGATTAAGAGCATGCCAGCGAATGTGATGCCGGTCGAGAGATTCCCGAATGAGACCAAAACAGGAAGTTTACAAGAGTAATCAGGGTCTGTATCCTTTTCTCAGTACCCAAATTTGGGGGGCAAACATCAGTCAATTTGTTGGGACCGAGATCGACCACCTGAACCTTGCCAATTTTACCCAATTCCTGTGGAATGCTTCGATTGAAATTGTTTTCCCATAGCTGAAGAACCTCCGATTGTGGCAAATCACCAATGGAGTCTGCTATTGGCCCGTGAAGTTTATTCTGAAAAAGGTGCATAAGTGTGAGATTCTTATGCTCTGCGAATGTGGATGGTATTTCAGAAGATAACATGTTATTGGACAGATCCCTTGGATTTTAAGTTATTGACATAACATAGCTCTGACTGAATTGGTAAGAAGCTGGTTGGGAAACAAATGATTGGATAGCTGCCGGCTAGGAAGAAGTCAAGAAACCCAATGGGTCCGGGATTGGAGTGACCAGATCACTGCGTGGAAACTTGTTGATTACCTACAAAATAGCTAATTTGAAGGGTTTAATTGAGTATTTTGAAAGTACGGGAGTTTAATCGACTTTTCTTGCATAGTACGAGGGCCACAATTTTTCCTAAATTCTGCTTTGCACTATTATTTTCTTTAATTTCCTTTGTAGTGCTTATTTTATTCAAGAAACATATTCTACTGACCACAAGTCCATAAGTGGTGAAAATATAATGGGGCATCCGGAAATGATAATTTTTTTGAAGAATGTATGAGTAATGGTAAAGGTAAAAGTAATGGCTTGGAGTAGCAATTACTTTTGACATTGCAATTGTTAGTCTGAAAATTTGTACAATTTTCAACTTTTCACTCTGAAATTGTTTCACCGTGACATTGTGTGAATTGCTAAAAATAAAATGTGTCATTGTTTGATTTAGTATTTGTGACATTCGAATGACATTTTATCCTTCTTTCAACAATGTCACATGTATTGTTATTGAATAGTTGCTTTTGTTTTAATTATATTTGCTATTGTTAATCACATTTTGACATTGCTATATGTCAGTGTCAAATTTTGTCTGACTTTAATTTTTTACTCTGAGATTATTTCAATGTGACATTGTTTGGTTGAATTGTGAAACTGGGTCATTTTTGGTTAAATATTTATGACATTTTCTCCTTTCAACAATGTCACATGTAGTGTTATTCAATATTTTATTCCGTTTGATTATATTTGCAATTGTTAATCACATTTTGTCATTGCTGTTGTTAGTGTAAAGTTTTGTCATATTTTTAACCTTTAGTACTCCGTATATGAAATAATATCATTCCGACATTGTCTATTTGAATTGTCAAAATGTGTCATTGTTTGGTTTGGTATTTGTAACGTTCATGTGACATTGTGTCATTCTTTCAACAGTATCATTATGTATTGTTATTGAATATTTACCTTCGTTTCAGTTATATGTTATTACCATTGCTAATCACATTTTGACATTGCTATTGTTAGTTTTAAAATTTGTCACATTTTCAATTTTTTCGTACTCTTTTTGACCCATTGAGTTAGCCACTTAGCCGTCTTGGACTTTTTCATTAATGATGTTAAACTATGATTGATAATATATTGATATATATGAAAATATTTATTATATGAAAAATACTCTTCGTTAAATATACTACTCCCTCTGTCTCACTAACAATGGGACAAGAGGGAGTGACACGCAAATTAATAAAAAGTGATGTATGTGGTTGATATTGAATTGATAAATAAAAAACAAAGTAAGAATGATTTAAAGTCACACAAACTTTATCAAATTTGGTATGAGACAATCTTAGTGGGACGAACCGAAAGGGTAAAATGAGACAATCTTAGCGGGACGGAGGTAGTATTATAAAAGGGGAAAGGGGGGAAATTGGCCACTATGGTAGGGGTAAAAGTGCAGATAAGACACTAACCTTTTTTTAGGACCGAAAAGTATCATATGCTCTTTGCTTAATTTGTTTACCCATATTACGTTTCCTTATTCCAAAAATCTTTACAACTATTTTAGAATTCCAAATATTATGGAAAATGCTTGGTTTGGATTCCATAGTTACAAATCGGTCACCACGTGTCCTTCATTTGAGGTAAGAGTGGAGCACGTGTCTGCTGAAATGGCACTCCAGCCACGTACTCACTAACTGAAGCACCAAGCCACCGAACGGTCGAACGGAGGTAACTAAATTCATAGTAGAAACTAACTAAGTTGCTTGCAGAGTGCAGACTATCAACGGTCATGAGACGACCATTGGCGTGGGTAACTAATTACGTGGCGATGAAGAGCAGTTGGGTCTGCAGCATCAGCCGGGTGAAGATGCTGAAACATGGACTGACCGACATCCTTATCCCCTAAAACACTTTCCCGCCCAAGCCCCAAGGAAAGAAAGGAAAATGAAAAATGGAGAAGAAGATTTTGTAAAAAAATGTGAAATTCAAGTACAACTTCTCATGCTAGAAGCTGATTTACATCCGATTCGAGAATTTTCAAATTGCATCCTTAATTACTTGTATTATTATAAAAATCTCTTTTTTGCAAATACTTTTTTATGAATAATTATTATTTAAAAACTCAAACATTTTGATGTAAAAATAAAGAAAGTTTGAGTCTATTTTTTGTTAATTTAGATCTGTTTGTGGAAACAATAATTGAAAGGTGTAGAAAAAATTGTAACCAAGGTATTTAAATTTTAGTCTCTCGGTCTATCTAATAGTCGGATCTTCATATTTTATCCGAAAATTTTAGATATATATACAATATTGGTGTGATATATATATAAAATTTTAGATATATACAATTTTAGATATTTTATCAAAATTTATCAATTTTGATATATATTTTTTATAAAGATAAAAAACAAATAAAAAACTACTCTCGTCAGCTCGACTCAGGTGAGTGTGGGGGGGGGGGGAGGTTTTTCCCACCATGGGTGCCATTTATCCAATGATGATCCATCACATGCTACAATTATATAAATTAGAAAAAATCTCCTGATATTACTTCTGAAAAAAAGATGAAAAATGTGACTTAATAATTTTTAGTGATTATAATTGTGTTTAAAATTTACATCATAGTAATTATATGTAAGTGATTGCAGTGTAAACTTTGAACACATAAATAATTACTAATAGTACTAAGTCACATTTTTGTAAATGTCTTTCTTAGTAGTATCTAAGGAAAATAGTTATAGATTAACTTTATCATTTTCATACCATGGTCGCATATAGAAGTCATTTCAGTAGACACATGCTCCACTCTTACCTATTGAAGACATGGTGGCCGATTTGTGACTATATGCAACTCAAACCAAGCATTTTCCATAATATTTTGAATTTTGAAATAGTTGTAAAGATTTTAGGAACAGGGAAACGTAAGATGGGTAAAGAAATTTAGTAAAACCAGTGTATCCTGTTAGTAATCCGTTTGTTGTCTCCGTTAGTGGGTGGCAAGATTGCCAACTATGTATTAAACTTCATGTTTTTTGTACCTAAAAAAAGGTTAGTGTCTTATCTGCACTTTTACCCCTACCATAGTGGCCAATTTGCCCCTTTTCCCATCATAAAAGTAATAAAGTTTATAAAATCAGCAAAATTAAAGTATACTCTGTATTAGTTAAAACTATGGATCAATGGTTACTATTATTGACTGGAAAAGCCAACATAATGTTCGTTAACTAAAATGGGATGAAGAATGTATATGAAATTATGCCGTGACATTGTTAGTTGGAATCATGAAAATGTGCTCTTATAGTCTTATTTGATTTAGTATTTGTGGCTTTATATGACATTGTGCCATTTTCTCAATTCAATAATGCGAATTGTGAAACTGTAAATACTTCAAAATCCTTGGGTGAAAATTATTGCTTACGAATTCTGTCGGCATAAATCTAGTGAAGTTTATTGATTCGTTGAGCTCCAAAGCGGAGGTATCCCGGCTGATACCTAAAGACAGAATTACCGATCGATTAAGAGGCGGTAGATTCTACTATACGCATAACGTACCATACCTTTGTCTACATGAACTAATGAGAATGTTGCAGTTGAATTATTTAAATCTAAATTAAAAATGATAAAGTGATGCGGTCCAATCAAATGAATAGTAAGTACAGTACCCCATTTTTTTAAAAGGTACCTGAATTGTCACCTTAAGAGGCGAACTTGCATTGAGAAGCCGATAGATGATGGAGTCCGGCGGCATTGTACATTTTGAATTTTAGTTTTCTTTTATTTGTCCAATGGATGTCGTTAGATAACATTTGTACACAAAATTAATACACATATTATACACAACACTTAGTTGTCTGTATCAGTTTTATACAAAGTTTGTGTATATGAAGAATTAGCATTTTGAAAATTACTCGGGATAAAAATTTTGAAATCCTTTTTTATTTTCGCCACCATGTTCTACTCGTATGTTAATTCTTAGCCTATATGGCTATATATAGTACTCCGTGTGTGCATGTCAATCACAATCATTTGCAAATTTGTAAGCATATGAACTTCATACTTGCATGAAATAAGGCTCCATTCAGATCATTTCTTTGCCCTCTTCTTCCAACGCCATCATGGCCATCAAATCACCCCGTAAGAACTCAGAGCAGCTTCCACTTCGAGAAATACCAGGTGGGTATACCTATGCCGGCTCCTCCTTCTTTGGAGCCATAAAAGACAGATACGACTATTTCTACAACCAAGGCGGCCAAGACAACTTCTTCCTTGCCAAACTCCGAAAGTACAACTCCACCGTCTTCCGTTCCAACATGCCGCCCGGCCCTTTCATCTCGAGAGACCCTAGGGCCGTCCTCCTCCTCGACGCCGCGGCCTTCCCCATTCTCTTCGACAACTCCAAGGTCGAGAAAAAGAACATCCTCGACGGCACTTTCATGCCCTCCACCGCCTTCTTCGGCGGCCACCGCCCCTGCGCCTTCCTTGATACCACCGAGGCGTCACATGCGGCGTTGAAGTCCTTTTTCTTGTCAACCTTGGCCGGCCTCCACAAAAGCTTCCTCCCGCTCTTCACCGCCTCTCTCGGAGCCCTTTTCGTCAACTTGGAAACCGAGCTGTCCCGGAAGGGGAAAGTGGGTTTCAACAATGCTAGTGATAGGATGTCATTCGACTTCATTTTCCGGCTGTTCTGCGACGGGAAAGACCCGCAGACAAAGCTCGGTGACGACGGGTCAAAGCTAGTTGACCTTTGGATCCTTTTCCAGATATCTCCGTTATACTCTCTGGGGTCGAAGTTCGTCCCCAACTGTCTTGACGACTTGATTCTCCACGTATTTCCGTTACCTTTTTTCGCCGTTAAGTCGGCATACAAAAAACTTTGCGACGCTTTCTCCGAGTCTGCGGCTCCGCTTCTAGACGAAGCGGAGAAGAGCGGCTTGGAGAGAGACGAAGCTCTTCATAACTTGGTTTTCCTAGCCGGCTTCAACGCGTACGGCGGCATGAAAGCCTTCTTCCCGTCGCTGATCAAGTGGGTCGGCGGCGGAGGGGAGGATTTGCACGGCCGACTTTTTAAGGAAATCAGGGCCGTTGTTAAGGAAGAAGGCGGCGTGACTCTCCTAGCCCTAGAGAAGATGAGTTTGACCAAGTCAGTGGTTTACGAGGCGCTGCGGATCGAACCGCCGGTCCCGTTCCAGTACGGAAAGGCCAGGGAGGATACCGTGGTCCAGAGCCACGAATCGTCGTTCCTGATCAAAAAGGGCGAAACGATCGTGGGATATCAGCCGTTGGTTATGAAGGATCCGAAAGTATTTGCGGATCCGGAGCGGTTTGTGCCCGACAGGTTTGTCGGGGCGGGAGGGGACATGATCCGGCACGTGTTCTGGTCAAACGAAAGGGAGACGTGCAACCCGACAGCTGGCAACAAACAGTGCGCGGGGAAGGATCTGGTGGTGCTCATGGCCAGGCTAATTCTGGTGGAGCTTTTTCTTCGATACGATTCATTCCAAATAGAGTGGGAAAGGCTCATCATTGGTTCATCCGTCACTATCGTCTCATTCACTAAACGCACGTGAGGGATAACTTTATTCTTAATATGTTGCTAATTAAAACAAAATCTCATAATTACTGCATACATATGTTGGCTAGAATAAATGTAAAATAACTATACAAGCATCCCAACAATCACTCTCTATTATCATGTTTGTTATAATTAACATTATCATCAGAGAATATTTTGAACGGGTGCTCTTCTATATTGATTTTTTATAATTTTTTTTTATTACAATTAAGGAAAAATGAGTGAATAGTAATCATTAAATATATAGAGTGCGGTTCCAATAAAAAAGTTGTTCTCGTGAAAAATGTGAATGGGTGCACTTTGGGTTCATTCGAGTATACTATAGAACATTAGAACTTTGATTTATTTACAAAATCGTCACCACGTTTCTGATAAAATGTTCACTGATCTTGAGCCATCAAATCCCAAGTTTAATGCACAATATTTATTTTCATTTTTCATCTTTTTTACTTGATCCAAAACTTATATGTGTGTGTAGTGAGTAATAAAAATGCTTTGTAGTATCGTACTCCGTATTATGCTAAGGAAAAAATAAATAGTTATGTTAAGTTAGACTATGTTGAGAATTATTCTTAGATAATTTTCATATGAAATGATATACTACTACGTATGTGATGAAAACGGTTAGCAACACAAGAGGGGAGGTTGAATTGTGTGTGTGGAACCGTGACAGTTTTTTGCCTAGTTCTAGTGTGGGGTGAAGGGAATTGCAGAATAGTAAAGTGCACAAGGATTTAACGAGGAAAAATCCATTGGCTCAAAGGGATTAAAAAACCTCGACCTCCCTCGGAGGAATTTTAAACAACTTCACTAATCAAACCTTGAAAGGATTACAAGAGTGATTCTTCTCCTAATCTACCCTTGAGCCTCCCCAACTCTATCCTCTTTAGAAAGAGTTATGCATCACTACCTTTCGGGTAGAGTGTCTCTCAGCTTTATCACAAAACTCTCACACACACTTATCCCAACCCGAGGCAGCTACACTAGCTAAGCCTCAATACCCCAAATACAATATGAGAAGGGAAATAGAAAACTCTATCTAGAACTCAGTGAGCGGGTTCAGGTGCCTTGGACTTGGTATTTTTCTCTTGAGACTTTCACTTGATTCTCTCAATTACCAACCTCGTATGATCTTCAGTTCAGCATGTATATAGCTTCTTTTGTGACAACCGTTGGCTCACCTTCCTTGCCTTGATACATTTGAATTACCTTCCTTGTTTACCATTTTCCTCATTTAGAGCCAAGGTATTCGTTAGTCAAATATAAAAGACTTGGGAGCCTTTTATGACATGATAGTCCACGCCCAAAATATTCATGCAACGTATTAAAGTGGTGAAATAAGGAAATAATATATTTGCCTTCATTTTAAGTAGGAAAGCAACGGGTCACTTTTCAAGAGGCTACCAAAAGAATCTCAATCATGGATTATGGTAAGAAATAATAAAACTTCGGTCAATCAAAACACATGCTAGTCAATCAACCGAGATTATTCCATTTGATGTATTTGGTAAGAAAACCTTTTTATTATTATTTTCAAAAGCTTCGGTCAACTCATGCAAAGGTGGCACACATATTCAATCAGATAAGGAAATATATCATTTAGTCTACGTGGGATGTAGAGAGGCATGCTCATGCAGAGCAGACTAGAACTTCTAGCTAATAATTAAAAGCAGTTCGGTCCATTATTTAGAACACATCTTGATTCAAGAATCTTATCTACCTGCATGGTTAGTGATAGAAGAGTTCTTCCTTCGGTTAGTCATCAACAAAATTAACTGTTCAACAAATTCCCCCTTTTTGTTGATGACAAACCGCAAGTGCCTGCACTTTAGAAGATAAGTTGTAACAGTTCAGTTTTTAGGCACCTGGTTGTTTCCCCCTTTTGGCATCAACCAAAAGGAAACAGGAACCAACCAAAACAGTGTCCAACAAAACAGTGTAGAGCTTAAAACAATAGTGATCAGAGAGTTAAAACAGAGTGATACGGCCAGAGCTAGAAGAGTGATTTAAAGAGAGTTTATTATTTAGTCCTCATCTGAAGAGTAAACGATTCTCCTATCCACGGTGTCAGAGTCATTACCCTTAAGGTAGGTTTCCTTCTTGAAGGTCTGGAGATCATTGCGGATGATGGTTTGAGATTCAGCCAGGGCATCCACCTTCTTAGTCAGTGCAGAAATTGCATCAGCGATAGCGAGGAATTTTTTCCAGAGAGAGCGCTCCATTAGATCCAGATGATCTTTTATAAGGGGGACAACCTGCAATGGGTCATTAGAGGGGACATGGGTAGATCTTGGTTTGGGTTTCTGATCAGAGGAAATGGGCAGACACTCCTTTGGGACTAATCTGGAATTGATGAGAGTAATTCCGAGAAGATTGAGACTCCTTTTATCTAGAACCTTACTGGCCCCTTCGGAAGGAAAATTATCAATAACAATGCCTTTGTTTTGAAAAATTTTAGTGAGAAGAGGTGCATAGGGAATGCCGTTTTTTCTAGGGGATGAGATGATGATGAAACTTAGATGTGCCATCATTAGACCGAGGAGATTGATTGGAACTTTGGTGGCTAATAGGTACATGTACGCCAACTCGGCTCTTGAGGGTGAGGAACATCCCTCAAGTCTCGGAATAAGGTTCTAATGGACGAAATAGAACAGAACTTTTTGAATTGGGGACAAGCTTGCTACATGGAGAGAGGAGCCAGTATTGTTCGGATCGAAGTACTCAAGAGCTATGGTTTGAGAGACATTAGTTAGGGGCCAATCATTCTTATCGTATGGGCATTCACCTGTGCCAGGAACACCAAGAATTAGACCCAAATCCTCAGTATCTAACAGTATCGTTGTTCCCTGCACTCGGGAGGACATCACACCATCCTTGATGATTAATCTAGCTAAAAATTCAGAAACAAGTTCAGGATGCACTCAGCAGTTTTTGGAATCATACAGTTTATTCCATTTTTGGAACGAGACGAGTTCAACGAAATCAGTTGTCTTTCGAGTAAATTCATCAGAAGATAGAGTGAGTACCTTGACCATTCCACGGTTTAGATAGTCCACTTTGAATCTAGTGGCATAAGCTTCAACAACCTTCCCCAACTTAGGGTACCTTTTAGCAGACCCATCGGAGGGAATGATGCCCTCAACCATGGCCCTTCTTCGTGTGAAATTCTGAGGAGGAGCTTTACGTTTTCTCACCATCGGCTTCATCTTGTTCGGAATAGGAGACCTTTCATGAGGTCTTTGTGGGGAGGACTCGGCTTCAAGATTAGGTTCCCCCTGAGATGAAGATGGTCCGCTTTTCTGAGAGACCGGCGATTTGGGGTTTTGAGCCTCCACCATGAAGAAATTTGATGGATCCAGTTCCATGAGTGGTGATGTGGTATCTAGGTCTATGAGGGTTGGAGGAGATGAGAGAGGTTTGCGGATGGTCCGGTTCCTGCTTGAGCGCCGAAGTGGGGTTGATGGAGCACCTCCTCTCGTTTTAACCATGGAGGTTGGGGATAGAGGAAATTTTAGGAAGGAGATAATTTTGGGAAGAGGATCGGCTAGCATTGACAATCGTATCGAGAGGGGATTTTACCACTTTATGAGAGAAATAATGATGATTTTAGAATATGAATGTGTTTTGTGCACGAGTGCATGACTGGATCTTTTGAGATGCTAATGGCACTTGTATTGTCACACATGATTGGCGTGCATTTCAAGTTAACCCTGTAATCGCTTACTTGCTGCATAATCCATAGTGATTGAGAGCAACAAGATGCGGCCGCTACATACTCAGCTTCCGCTGTTGAGAGTGCAACTGAATTTTGTTTCTTAGAACTCCAAGAGACTAGGCATGGACCTAGGAAGTGGGCAGTTCCAGATGTGCTTTTTCTATTCAGTGGATCACCTGCAAAGTCAGAGTCTGAATATGCAATAAGATCAAAATTATCATTACGACGATACCACAGGCATAAATCAGTAGTTCCTTTGAGGTATTTGAGGATCCTTTTCGCAGCTTTGAGATGAGATTCTTTGGGTTTAGCTTGGAACCGAGCACATAGACCTACGCTGAAAACAATGTCGGGTCTACTGGCAGTGAGGTACAGTAAGGACCCAATCATTCCTCGATACATCTTTTGGTCTATGTTCTTTCCTTGTTCATTCGCATCCAATCTATCATTTGTTCCCATAGGTGTAGTCATAGTTTTTCTCTCGCTCATCCCAAACTTCTTTAGTAGTTCCTTGAGATATTTTTGTTGTGAGATCTGAGTTCCTTGGCTGGTTTGCTTGATTTGTAATCCGAGGAAAAAAATTAGCTCCCCCATCATACTCATCTCGAATTCGGAACTCATAAGAGAAGAAAATTCATCACAAAGTGAATCATTAGTAGCACCAAAAATAATATCATCAACACAGACTTAAACAACCAATAAGGCTTGATTTTTTATTTTTAGAAAAAGCGTTTTATCTATTTTTCCTCTTTCAAAATTGTTTTCCAAAAGAAATTTAGATAGGCGTTCATACCAAGCACGAGGTGCTTGTTTGAGGCCATAAAGTGTTTTATCTAATTTGAAAACATGATTGGGAAAATCTTGATTTTCAAACCCCGGTGGTTGTTCTACATATACCTCTTCCTTTAAATATCCATTCAAGAAGGCTGTCTTGACATCCATTTGCTGGAGGGTGAAACCCATATGAACCGCAAATGCAATGAGCATTCGGATTGCTTCAAATCTAGCCACCGGTGCAAATGGTTCGTTGAAGTCTATCCCTTCTTGTTGGTTATAGCCTTTGACGACAAGCCTAACTTTATTTCTTGTGATTTGACCATGTTCATCAAGCTTGTTCTTGAATACCCACTTGAGACCTATAACAGTCTTGTTCTTGGGTCTCGGTTCTAGATGCCACACCTTGTTTCTTTCGAACTGATTCAGTTCTTCCTGCATAGCTAGAACCCAGTTAGTGTCGGAGAGAGCCACTTCATGGTTCTCCGGTTCTATAAGTGATAAATAAGCAGAGAAAGCACAAAAATTCGTACTGATAGACAACGGGCACACCCACAATTTCATTCGGGATAAATTGGCAGAATCCTTGCAACTGCATTTC